TTAAGAACCATGCTATCTGCATTTCGTATGTAAGTGCAATTCTTAGAAACGAAATCTAATAATATAGTACTTATTTTGCTTTTGTTTTACTTTCTACACATGACAAACAGCCCACATCTTTCTGTTTTTGGATTCACCTATTTTATGTTAATGAAAAGATTTAATTCATTTTTTTGCATAATTAATGATTTGCTATGTATACTCACCATATTTCCCATACTCATCTGCTAATGGATTTCCAAACTGATTCTACATCTTTACTATTTGAATAATTGTTAACAAGTTGCATGTGCAGGTATATCTTGTTATGGAACAGAATCGCTGAAGCAGAATGGTAATTACATGCTAATAATTTCCTGAGAAGTATAGATGGAGAAATTAATAGGGCCTCCTTAAATAAGAGAAGCAAGTCTGCAAAGGTAGAAAACTTGGACTTCAGGTAAATGTTAGACATGTATCTTTAATTCTGAAAATTTAAAACCTTGTCTGGAAGAATATAGATGGGATAGACTAATCTCAACAGCATTGTCATATTAATAAAAATTAGAAGTATAATAACTTGCAGACCATCACATGATAATACAGAAGAATACCTGTAGAAGACTGTTATCTAATTGGAGACAGAAAGGAGGTGGACCTGGATAGGAGGAGAAATAAGAAGGAACTGAGAGAAGTGGAGAGAGGAAAAACTGTAATCAGGGTATAATATTGGAGGAAAATTTATTTTTGATAAGAGGGAAAATTATGTTTTGAGAGATAAATGGACTAAGAAGATGAGCAGAGAGAAGGCAGATTCCAGGAGCATCTGTGTATTTGTGCATCAAGCTCTGAACACTCTGGGGTGCCTTTGCCCCCCACCTAAGACCTGTTCACTCAAAGGGTAGTCTTGATAATGCAGTGTTGACTTCTTTTGGGAAGCGTTGCTTATTGACAGAGAAAGAATTTCAGTCACTCAATGTCATTCAGCTCAAAATGATTTTTATATTCCCATGGCCTGTTCAAGATGAGTTCAACCCTGAGCACAGAAAGATACACTACAGGCTCAAGAGAAAAGTGGAGGCATTCCATGCCAAGCATTTGACACTTCAAGGAAAATCTCACTTTGTCATCTTCTATGATGACTTTTCACTTCTATGACTAGACTTTTCACTTCTAAGTCCTGGTAAATAAAAGGTTAGCAACATACATTTCTTGTCCTCCTTTATTTTTCATTGTTGATAAGAAAGTAGAACTAAAACACTTTGAATTATTTTTTAAAAGAAAACTAAATGCTTTAAAAGGAATTATAATGGATGTCTACATAACAGCTTCAGAAACTACATGTACCAAGTATTATAACTGGACCAGACAATGAAGGAGAACTATAAGAATGATAATACAGACAACTCAGAGGTAGAGTAGAAACTGGTATTTCATTTATCGTAGACACATTAATACATATTCAAATGATTTCAATTTTATTTATAGGTAGATAAGAGAAATGTTTTCATGCTAGTATAACACCATGATGTATTTTTATTCATTAAACATGTCAGATAAAAACTAATAGAGAAAAGAAAAATAGTACATAAATTATGACAGAATGGTCAGTCAATATATTATTGAGTCTTTGTTGTTCAAAACACCTTTTAAAATATTGATGAATTTTATAGCGAGGCTGACTCCATCCCCATGCTGTTTCAAAAGGAGCAACAATAATCATGGATGTAGCAAAATGTAGAAGTCTTTGTGTATATGGGCTAGATGGCTGTAACTGGTGCATATGGTAGTTATATTTTCAGTGTGGACAGTCTCAAGAAACCACATTGCATAGCTTTTATCTTTTTATTATTCTTTTTTATTGAAATTAGGAACAATCTTATTTTATATATCAATCCCAGTTCCTTCTCCCTCCCATTCTTCCGTGTCTCACACTGACCTCCATCCCATCCCTCTTCTGCTCCATAGAAAAGATGAGGCCTTCTGTGGGGGATCATCAAAGTCTATCATATCATTTAGGGCAGAGCCAATCCCCCTTCCATGTGTCTAGGCTAAGAGAGTATCCCTCTATGGGAAGTGGGCTCCCAATGTCCATCCGTACACTCGGTATAAATGTTGTTCCATTACCAGGAGCCCGATAGACTGCTCAGGCCTCCTAATTGTCACCCATATGCAGGGGGCCTGGTTCCATCCCATTCCAGTTTCCAAGATATCAGTCTGGGGTCCATGAACTCCCCGCTGTCCAGGTCAGCTGTTTCTGTGGATTTCCCCAACAAGGTCCTAACCCCTTTGCTTGTCACTCCTCCCTCTCTCCAACTGGATTCCAGGAATTTGGCTCAGTGCTTAGCTATGGGTCTCTGCTTCTTTAAAATATTGTGTTTAAATTTTTTTTATATTTATGTCTCCTCTGAGCATTATAGATTTGAGAATAATTTTCTCATTTTTATCAAAAAAAGATCTGTATAGATTTATGAGATACATTTTTGTAATTTGGTGTCTGTATAAAGTATCTAATAATTAAACCAGGGTAATTAACTTTTATGCCTTTTTATCCAGTAATAGTTTTATGTACTGAGGAGTTTGGATTCTTCTATAAGCATTTCAAAATGTAACAGAGGGATTTCCATATGGAATTTATGTGTTTGTATGTGTATGGGAAGGTGGTTGGTGTGTGTGTGGGTGTGTGTGTAGTCCAGGCCCATTAGCACAAGCCTATAATCATGGTGTAGGAGAAGTGGAGACAGAAAGATACTTGTGGTTTTCTGGGCACAGACCCTGCTGTAGAATAATCCCTTTGTACATAGTGAAGATTTGTCACTCAGATTGGTTTAATAAAAAGCTGACTGGCTAGTAGTTAGACAGAGAGTAAAGGTGGGACAGTCAGACACAGAAGGCTAGAAAAAAAGAAGGCAGAGTCAGAGATAGTCACAAGACAGAGGGAGAGTAAATAAAACATTCTGGAGAGGTAAATTCCATGAGCCCTGGGACAGCTCCTAGATTAATAGAAATGGGTCAATTTAAGCTGGTAATAAGCCTGAGCTACTGACCAAGATCTTTAATTAATATTAATTGGTAATTTGGGAATGGGCTGATAGGACATAAAAACTCTTCCTACAAGACCCTGTTTGAAAATATAAGGTAGAGAAGGATTAAGGAAGACACTTGATATTGACATCTTATGTCCACAAATGTGTTGGTATATACATAACACACACACACATGTATGTATATTCTTAGTTTCCACTACAGCAGCAGTCCACCTCTGTCAAAGCAGTTACATCATCACCTGTCACAAGGTGCCTTTCCACCCTCAGCTGTGTGACATGTGCACCCTTTAAAAATGCCTGCCTGGCACAGTTTGCTTTTTTTAACCTTTCTTATCTCTCATCTCTCTTGCCTCTCCTCTTTGTCTCTTGTTTCCTCACTCGACTCTTCTTTTCTCTTCTTGCTTGTCTTCTTTGTCTTGCCTGTCTGCTGATGGGAGATGTCATTCTGTAAAAATGTTTCTCATACTGGATAATGAATAAAGCACTGTTGGTCAATAGGAAAGCAAGATAGGAGGGCCTAGGAGACAAGGAGGAAGGAGGAAGTAGTAAGGAGGAGTGAAGATGGAGAGTCTGGAGAAAGCAGAATGCCGGCCGGCTCCCCAGTAAGAGAAGACCACGTGGAAATACTAGATTAACAGAAATGGGTTAATAATTAAGACAGAGCTAGCCGATAAGAAACTAGTAACGGGCCAACAGAATTATATCAAATACAGAGTCTCAGTGTGTTAATTGGGGCTGGCGCGGTGGTGGGACAAGACTGGCGGCGGGAGGAAAAAAACATACTCCTTACAGTCTGTTGCTCTCAAGTCCCCACTTTGATGTGGCCTTTTAAATTTTTGCTATCATATTCTCTCAATAACCTCTTGCACTACCTCTGTTGTGCATGTTTTTGCACAGGTACTGCCAAAAGATACCCACTATTATCTTTCCTGATTTTTATCCTTTCACATATAGCACAGCGTAACAGGTAGATACCTTCTCCTGCTATTGAAGAAGCAAAGATAATCCATTTACTCTATCATTAGGGTGCTTTTTGAACTTGTCCTTAAAGTTTCTTAGTGATCTTAGTTCCATTTCACTCTTGTCAGAGATCTTGTCTTGATGCACTCAGGGAAATATGCTGAATTTATCTTTCTCTTTGGAAATAGTTTTGTTTAAACTACATATTTATTACCATGTTTTATTGGACATAAACACATTACTTTATTAATTATTAATTATGTTAAATTATTTCTATTTTTAGGTAATCATATTTGTTTGCTATGGGAAGTATTGCTTTCATTTTCGCTGTTTCTACTACTCTTATTTTGACCATATTTCCATCTTTGTATTTGAGTTAAAATGATCTCCACAAGACCTAACAAACAGTGGAATGCAAATTTGAATGGCAAGTATTTCTTCTCCATCTACAAACATCTGGACATGTCTAAAATGTAGAACCATATTTTTCCCCAGGATCAAACTTAATGATTTTCTATAGTCTCTGTAACCACAATTCTGGGTGAGAAATCTGATCCTATTTTTAGCCCCTTAACTTTTGTAGGTAACTTGTCAAGGTTACTAAAATTAAGAATAGTTGAGAACACATGTGATAACATACTGATGTCCTTTAAGATGTTGGAGATATTTTACAAAGGCAAAAGTAACAACTTTGATTTGTTCATTAACTTGAGTTCCCTGGTTTAAATCAATGAGAAAAAAAAATACCACTAGGGAGGAATCTGAAAGAAAATGAGCATCTTAGAAAAGAGCTTGACTGAATTGAATGGATTAGAATATTTCTCTTATTTATATGTTTGTTTGGGTTTTTTCTCTCATATATTACAACTTGACTTTAGTCTACCTTTCCTCCACTCCTTATCAGTTCCCCTGCCACCTCCCTTCTCAACTAGACCATTCCTCTTCCTTCCCCCCCCAAAAAGAGCATTGATAACAATAGAAAATATAAAATAAAATAAGACTAGACACAAACCCTCATGTCAAGGCTGGATGAGACAATCCAGTAGGAGTAAGAGTGTCCCAATAGCTGTCAAAAGAATCAGAGACAAAACCTAATACCACTGTTAGGAGACCTACAAGAACACCAAGGTATACAAAAATAGTGTACATGCAGAGCACTTAGCTCACATCCATACATGCTCCTTCATGATTGTTTCTTCAAGTCTTAGTGAGCTACTATGAGTACTTCTTAGTTGATTCTATGAGCCATGTCCTCCTGGTGTCTCTGAACTCTCTGGCTCCTACAATTTCTGAGATCTTCATATTGTTTAGCAGTGAGCCTCTGCATCTGCTCCCATCAGTTGCTGTGCTACCACATTGAGATGTTTGTTTCTTTGTAGATGGCCTATGAGTATAGCAGAATATCATTAAGAATCATTTCATTGACTTTTTCTTTTATTTTTGCCAATTTGCTTTGGTTCTATCCTAGGTCTCTTGTCAATCCAGTCTCTGGTTCTTGGTTCTCCAGGCTTTATCAGATATGGGTTCCCTCTTGGGCATGGGCCTCAAGTTGGTCTAGTCATTGGCTGGCCACTCCAACAAGATCTGTATTACCTTTACCCCAGCATATTTTGAAGATAGGACAGATAATTGGTCAAAGTTTTTGTGTCTGGCTTATGTCCTATTCTTACCACTGGAAGTTTTGCCTACCTGATATCCCCCATTACTATTGGTCTTTACTAAGTTGACCCTTACCAATTCCAGGGAGTTTCCATTGCACTAGGTTTCCTTATCACTCCACAAATGCCCCTAAATCCCATCCTTCTCTCCAAGTACTCTCTCCCTCCATACCGCATCCTTCCTGTTCCTGTTCTCACCAGCCCTCAGCTCACAGGCAAACTCTATGTTTGACCATCCCAAGGAGACACCTGCATCCCAATTTGAGTGCCCTTTGTACTGGAGTAAAAAGTGTATTGAGAAAAGGAGCCATAAATATTTGCTGTGTGGCTGTGTCTGCCTCTTTCTGAATTATCAGGATTAAGGTAGCAATGAATTTCCATGGGTTATACTTTACTAAGAAAATGATATTACAAGATAAAATAGGTGCTTATATGAAAGACATCATAAATTTCACACAGCATGTGTACTTTAAAATATTTCTTAAAACTTCCTACATACCTTTATACATCCTCTCGTGTTATAATTTCCAAAAGGGAGAATTATAGAATTATCATTATCAACCTTTCAACATAGGAGAACAAAACTGTTTCAGCAAAAGGGTACAGAGAGTTCCGTTACTTACAGAACCCCAGGGTTTACTCCAATATTCCAATACAAACCTTGTAAAACTGAGAAAAATGACATAACACTAGAGCAGAGTGTCATGGACCTGTACTTTCAATACTTGAGAAGCTGTTGCAGGAGGGTTGCACAAATTACAGGCCAATTTGGATAATCGAGTAAGTCACATATTAGTCTGGATTATGTAGAATTACCATACCTCAAGAGTATAAAAATTAGACGTACACATATTTGGAGACATTGTATTTTTTTAAAGTTGATCTGGTTATTGCTCCTGGATGACTTTTGCTCAAAATTTTAGAGCTAATTGAAGGTATTTGAGTCAGCAGTGATTTTTAATCAATTTCAATTTTTGCTTGTCTCTTCATTAACATTTTGTAACAAAATTATTTATTAATAATTTGAGATACATTAGAATAGAATAAAAGCAATTTATAGAACTGTATTTTCTAAGTTCATTGCAATGTGTAATCTTTAGTTGAAATTGATTAATATATTGCATTAACTCTGTTTTCTCAGAATTCTAGATAAACAAAAAACAATCGATGAAATATCTAAATGGATAAATCAACTGTGTTATTGTTCTCCATAGATACCAAGAATCAATATTAATAGCACTGTTGTCATAGGTAGCTGAGAAGAGGATTTGTCTTTCTTCCTGTGGTCTCTTTTATTGTGAGAACACCTCAAGTCCTCATTGACTCTCCTCTGTTGTATTACATTGTGTCAATAGGTAAATGTGATTTGAGCTAGATTAGTTATAGATTAGCTATAGATTTTTTACAGTTTTTCCTTATTATTAACCCATTTTTCTTAATGCAAAATAATGAGTTACTTTCCTAGCAGAATTTGAGTACAGGAATGCTAATTTGAATTATAATGGCTCATATGACACTTGCATTGGTACATCTCAACTGCTGAGATTTGCTAAGTACTGCTGGGGCTTGGCAAATATCCCCATTATGGCTCGCCCAAATCCACATCAGCAACTTCAACAAAAATCCTATAGAAAACCAAGTCTACAGATGCAAATATGAAAATATAGACCATCATTTTGGGGAGATTAATCTATAGGTCTATTTTGTTTAATAATTTCTATGGTTCATCCATAAGAACTCATCATAGCTCACTGGCAATAAAAATTACAATTTAATTAATAATGTGCAAAATTTTAATGTAATGCTTTAGGGTTGTAAGCTATAGGTAGATCAAATAAACAGGTGTTGAAAATGTTTATTCTTGCTTACTTTTTGATAGCTCCGTCTGTTTGCATAAAAACAATGAATTGCACAAGAAAAGCAGGGCATTTAGCTTTGGGCATAAGTTGAGGAATATTTCTAAGATGTGATGTGAGACTGGAAATTTTCTTGGTTTATTCCTTGTGAAGACTTACATGTTTCTCATAGATGAATTTATGGCATTACATTATCATCTTAAAACTGGAGATGAAATGAGAGGAAGTCATGCAAGACTTCAGAGAATGGATGAAATATAGCAGTCCTTACACCATTCTCTGATACATTTATCACAAGTGTACAGTCAGATATGGAGGCTATCTTAGCATTTAAGGTACCAGCATTCAAAAGTATAACTATATTCCCCTGATATAGAGCACACATGCTTTCTGTGCTGCAAAAAAAAAAAAAAAAAAAAAAAAAAAAAAAAAGAGCTAAGGTACTGTGATCAGGAATTTCAAATTTTTTGATATCTGACTTCACACAGAAACACATTCTATGAATTGTTGCACTTTTTATTTCATTTACCTTTCAATTTGAAGTATACATAGGAAATGAGCATGGTGGCAGATACCATCAGTGCACAAAGGATGACGCTTATATCTTCTAACCACAATGTATCCAATTCAAAATGTGCATCTGAAATAGGAACTGGGGAGAGTTGCAAAAATTAGAATCAAATATGCATCTGAAGCAAGAATTGGGGAGAGTTGCAACAGAGAAAATAGAGCTGGACTACAGAATAGGGTTCTATTGCTCTGTGCCTTCTGAAGGAAAAAGTGTGGGAGAGAAGGCTATAGGATACATGGTTGGTGCTGAAGATGGGTTCTTTGGGCATGAAGTTGTGAGGAAAGAGAATCTGATTCTCCTATCATCAGCATCGTGATATTTTGGTTTTCCAGAGTTTGGAGCCTTGTGTGCTTTCTCCAGTGCAGAGTATGCTCAGATTTCTGTGGCTTGCAGCATATGCAATGCAGTGGGTACTGTGCCGTTAGGCTTTGTAAACGTGTCAGAAGCAAAGTTCATTGGGAAAGAATGAACCTAAATTGAGAAAAAAAAAATGTGTCTATTATATTAGACTGTAGGCAATTCTGTGGGATCATTTCTTATTAATGATTTCTATGGGAGGGTATAGTCCACTGGGAGCAGTGCCACCTCTTGAAATTATGCACTTGGTTGGTACAAGAAAGCAGGCTAAAAAATACTTGCAAACTAATCCCATAAGCAACATTCCGCCATAGTCTCTACTTCAGTTCTTGCTTTCAGGTTCCTGCCTTGAGTTCCTGACCTAACATAACTTCTATCAGTGGTGGATGGTAACATGAGAGTTGCAAGATGTGATAAACCCACTGGCTGTTCTTTTGTGATGTTTTAGACAGCAACAGAAATCAAACTAGGATAAAAACTGTTATATGAGTAGACACTAAAATAGAAGAGTTTTCACAACTCCGAGAAGTCACACACACTAGAAATTCATATCCTATCCTTATTTTCTTCTACCTGCCTTTCCATGTTCAGTCCTAGCTGGGAACCATACCAAGATACTTTCTTGAAATAAATTTACACAGTCTCACTTGATTCACAAGAACCACATCATGATTACAAGTGGATCACAGTCACACCAATCTCTCCAGTCAATAATAATCAACACTAAATCATGTAAGGCTGGCCTATCTACTCCTCCTAAATGACCTAAAACCAACCAAGATTTGGCAAAAACAAAAGCAGAACCAAATTTTATTCATAGAACATAGGTAAGCTATGATCTTATATCAGATACATAGCCATTAAAAGAAATCCATGTGTTTATGTCCAGCCACATAAATGAAACAAATTTTATGAAAAAATGAAGACAATATTCCTCTTGATAAAGTCTACCAATTCTATAGAAGACTACTATAGACAAGTTCTATGCCCTCCAAATGAGAATCGCCTACATGGAAACTAAGAACCTATATTTTAAAGAATAATCATAAATAAGATCAAAGAATTCAATAACTCCAAAGGGAATACAAGAAAACAACCTATTAAAGGACAGAAACAAACTTTCAATTGAAGTGCAAGAAAATTAAGAATAAATAAATAAAATTAAGAATATAACAGAATTTTGAAGGTCAAATTCCATAAAGAGATGGAAATCCTGAGAAAAATTCAAGTGAAAGGTTTACCAAGAGTCTGAATCAAATAGAAATCAGAAGGTCAGGACTTCAAGGTAAAGCAGAAGAATTGGACCAGTCAGTGAAAGACAACTGTGGTGGATTAAATGAAAATACCCACAAAGAGAGTGGCACTCTTAGGAAGTGTGGTGTTGTTGAAGTAAGTGAAGCCTTTTTTGGAGGAAGTGTGTCATTGTGGAGGCAGGTTTTGGGTTCTCATATATGTTCAATATACTTCCCAGTGTTTCAGACCACTTCCTGTTGCCTATGAGATAAGATGTACCACACTTGGCTAGTTCTTCAGCACCATGTCTGTCTTCACACCATCATGTTGTACCATGAATATAATGAACTAAACATCTGAAAACCACCCCAACTAAATGACTTTTTATCTTTATAAGAATTACCATGTCTTATTATCTTCACCTTGCTTATACTGCTTCCAATACACTGGTGAAACTGAGGAGGATGCAAAGAAAAATGTAGAGAAGGTAAGATAGTTCAGGAGCCTATTAATCTTGCAATCCAAACAAGCATCATTCTTCCTTAGATAAATGTCTTGTCAGTGACTAGGCATTTGGTAAAGGGGTATTACTAAAAGTTTCCATATACCTGATGGTACTTACCTCTTTCTTTCTTATACAACCACACCAGGACACCTATGACAATCAACACTGAAAGAATCATTATTGATATGCTTATCGAGAAAGAAGAAGTCCACGTGCAAAAGCCACCTAAAGAAATAAAGTTATAATTGCTGGTTATTGTGTAAAAGTTCCTTGTGTTTGTAAAGCATATCAAGAAAGCATTATTTATAATCTAATGTCATCTATCTGTGTATATCAAACACAACATGGCATAGAAGATCAGAGAGCTGATGGTGATATGAGGAATGGGCAGAATAATTTATGGGACAGAAACAGTTCAGGACTGTTAGAATAACAGCTCATGCTGTTATTCCCTCTTGTCATTCAGCCTGTGATATGACAATTCTCAGTGTAATATTAATGCCACCCGCCTGGAAATGATCCATTCAACACCTTGTATGCAAAAGTTAGTAAAATGTTAGTAGTTCAGAGTGCTCCAGTAAGAAGCAGTTGAATGAAAGGAGAAGATTTTTATAGTATAGCTCTATTTAGAAATATTTTTAATATAAATCTTTCAAGAGCTATTTAGAAAATTGCATTTAATGTTTGGTGGCTGAATAATTGTGAGACACAAAGAAGCACTTACACATTTTTAAATGTGGGTTCTTTTGAGATAATATAATTACTTGATTTTCCTCTTCCTTAGTCTCCCTCTAAACTTTCCCATATTACCCTTCTCCCATTGATCTCTTTAAGATACATGGCCTATTTTTCAATTGTTTTTACATACATATATATGCATATGCCATAAGAGCCCTTAGTGGTAATGAACAACTCTCTAACAGAACTTAAGACCTGCTTAACAAGAGAGAATTGTGTCTGGTCCTGGAATCCTACTCAACCATCCAGGACTAATGAAATCATAGACCTCTGAGAGAACCTGAAATCAAAACCTACCTAATATCTAACTACATTATACACATCTTTCCTTATACTTACACTTTTAAAGAATGTGGTAACAGACTGGGGATATAGCCCAGTTAATATAAATAAAAGCCTGGGATCCATTCCTAGCAGTGCTTAAAATCACACTTGCAGCACATATCTATAATCTTAGTGTTAGGAAGGTGGAAGGAAACAACTTCAACGTTATCCTCAAGAATAATAAATTTGTGGTCAATCTTGGCCACATGGCTTTCAGGCACACCTCCCTACAACCCTTAGATGCAGTGGTAGAAAATGAAAGATACTTGAGTATATAAGCAAGCTCAGGCTAGAATACAAGTTTAAATGTCAGCAGGAAATTTATGGACTACAGGAAAGTTTAGGACCACTAAGACTGAAATCCTTACCTGATGGCTAAACTACTTATTGGAATAGATCTAGGATGCCTAATTGTGCTCTTCCAAAAGAAATCTATATTTGAGGCTCTTTTAAATTGAGACCCTCAAATCCAAGACAGATTTTTTTATGATATAAATGTAGCAATCTTTCTATTATCATCTCCTGAGTTTAGTACAATTGAGAATGAATGAAAAATTTGTCTTCTATTGTAAGTCATCAGATGTCCCAATTAGTAACCCTCCTGTGGTGATGCATTGTTTATGATTTAATAAAGCTTACCTGAGGATGAGAATGCAAGCCAACCACACTAGCCATAGAAGTTGGCATTGGTGGCACATAACTTTAATCCCAGGACTCAGGAGACAGAGGCAGATAGATCTCTGTGAGTTCAAGGCCACCCAGGGCTACATGAGTGTGAGTCAGTCCAAAAGAGTAACAGAGGTCATGCCTATAATCACAATCGAGGTTGGTATATAAGTCAGAAGCAAAGAGTCTCATACAAGATTTAGTTTCCTGGCATAGGGAAGATGAGTTCTCTATTTTAGCCTTGATAGAGTTAAAAGCTACTGACTGATTGCTTTGTTTTTCTGACCTACAGCTTGAACACCAATATCTGTCTTTAGGATTTTAGTATTCATGCTACACCTTCTCTCTGTGATCTATTCTCCTTTTGCTTTGAAAGGTTATCTCTGTTTAGTCATTTTACCATGTACATTTGAGAACATCACTGTTACCCCTGACATGATCATTGTATCCCCAAAGAAGTGAAGTGACAAACCCATGAGAATGGCATTACATTTTAAAAAGTTCTCCAGGTTGGTTTGGGTCTCTAACATAATATGTCAACAAAATTCCAACAAGATTGAGGTCCTAGGACTCCAAATTTTACAAACAGCATTGCCAACAGTTTCAGCAGAAAGATACGACAATCTAGGAATAAGGAATAACTGAGACACATATCTAACTGATGACACAAGGCACATTAGAGCATTCTAAACAGAAAGGCTTAGGAATCGATGTTCCTTCAGCTTTAGCACCACCCCCCAACACTTTCCCTTTTTGCATGTCTCATCTTTCAAACATACTTACTTTGATTTCTAATATGCGTTTGGCAACTGGAAACCAGTATTGAGAATAGCATCACAAATAATATCATACTCAGAATCATTTTCCACTTCCTGTTCCATGAAAAAAATTCATCTGAAATAAATGGTCACAAATCTTAGAAAGTAGAAAATTTCAAGAGTTTGGACTCATCCCATAACAAATGATGACACCTACAAGGTATGTTTCTATTAAGTTCTCATATTGCTGTCATATTTGTTGTAATGCACTTTGGAGAAAATTATTGTGGGCTCAATTAAAAGCATGGCAGGTCTGAAATAAAGCTAAGCCAGGTATGAATGTAAAGTTAAATGAGAGTAATTTTCCTATATTCCCTCCACTCACTCTCAGGAACTTCTTTAGTGAAAAGGAAGAGGCAAAGCTAAGTCCTCCTTTCCTCTGCCTATGACTGAAATATATGGTTTCCAAGAACTATGATTATGTAATTCCTAACTCCATCCTACTGTTCTTTTTTTAAGTTTCTAAACTGTGTCCAGCACAGAATTCATATATGGATGGATGACCTTGAAGTCCTGATTCTTCTGTCTCTATCTCCCTAGTGCTAGGGTTAATAGAGTACAATAAACCTTATGTATGTGATGCAAGGGATTGAAGCCATTGCTTTGTGCATTTTAGGCAAATACTCGATCAACTGTGCTACACCTATAGCATTCAAACATGTTTTTAAAAATCATCTTTATATGGAAGATATGATTCATAAAATATGCATTTTATGATTTACCTAAGTTCTAAATAAATAACAAGTGGCTCCTATTTTATTTCTGTTGTTTATATATGCATGTGTTGTACATACATTATATATGTGTGTGATTTATACATGTTTCTATACACATAGATTGTCATATAGATGTATGTTGTAAGAGTATGTGGGTACACACACACACACACACACACACATATATATATGTATATATATATATATATGTGTCTGTATGTATACACAAATGCTATTAACTCTGGAATGAGGATAGATTATTGAAATTTTGTTTATAACTTAGAATTATTTATCTTCCTGTTTCTGACACTTTCTTATTGAAGATTTCATTGAATAAGAAAATAAACTTGAGTGAAAAATAAATGCAGAGATATTTTGAAGAAACTAAATTGTCTAAAGTGTTGTCCCTATATAATTCTCTTGAGTTTTCATTATGCCTCTCTTCATCTCATTCTTACATTGGTATCATGATCACATATAAAAAACTGACATATGCATGATTATTTGCCAGTTTATAAGGCAAACTGTAAGTTTTATTTCAATTCACTTATTTCAATTGGTTTTGTTTGAAAATAATAGCATTAAGAAATATTTGAAACAGTTTACACATATCATTATATACAACCAACAAAGATTTACTTTTATGCTTTTGAGACATAGGTAGGTGAGGAATAATAATATAAGTAAGTTATACAGTATGTTAAAAGGAAATCATTCCTTAAAAATAAGAAATGGTGAAATAACAGAATACCAGGTGTTTAGAGGGTAGAGATGATACACTTTTAGGTGTTTTTGTCTATGTAGTTTTAAGACAGTCGATAGTTGAGCAGAAGACAGTTAAAAGAAATAAGGGAGGGAGTACAATTTATAGCATGCTAACAATAAAAGACATCCAGAGTGAAGATCTGAGAGCAGGAGTTAGTCTTCAGTCTTTATGGATGAAAAGAAGCAGAGTTTGTGTGAGTAGATCGGTGTGGAAAATTGAAGATCACAGAAGATTAGAACAGATTAGGTAATAGGCAAATACAACACAGAACATTGTGAGACATTTTATTCTGGAAAAAAAATGGGGGAATTATTCAAGAACTTGAACAGAGAGTAATGCTTCATGGTTGATTATATAAAATCATGGGCAAAAATAGCAGTGGGAAATTTGAGGATCCTATTGCTAAAACTGAGCATGGGTGATAGAGTCTTGAAACTGAATGGCAGGGGTATCAGTGGGCAAAAGTGATGATGAATAACACACTCGTCAACCTGACTCCACTTTTTTCCTCTGGCCTTTTTTATGAATTTCTCTATCTCTCAACATATTTTAAACTCCAGGAGCATAGGTCTGACAAACACCCTGCACCATGAAGAGATTTCTCTCTAGCCCTTGAAAGCAACAACTTTCTTGGCAGTATTACCATGGTGTCTTCCTCAAAAACACACTCAACTCTTTCATTTATGTATTCTCTTTTATATAATCTGATAGCAGCTGATGCTATTAGTGAGATGCAATCAGATTTCTATTTGACTCCACAAAGCTTAAATTTCTATATCATATATTACCATCAACAGCTTTTTCTAAATTTTATTCAGCTTATAAATTTATATAAACATATATATATATACATACATATATTTATACACACACACTATATATATATATATAGTGTGTGTGTGTGTGTGTGTATGTGTGTGTGTGTATATGTGGGTGTGTGCTCATGTATGTGCATCAGGAAGTCAGAGGACTACTGTGTGAGTGGGTTCTTTCTTTCTACCACTTGTGAATCCCTTGGATCAAACACAATTCACTCATCAAGATCTCGTTCTGTTTTTCATTTGAAATATAGGACTGACTCTAAACTGTTGGATCCAAGAATCAAATTTATGCTTTGGTATTACAGTAACAATGAGACTGTAAATATATTTTAAAGATATCTACCTCCATACAGAAAGAAGTCAAGAATTATTTGAAGGATTTTGATTAGAGAAGCTGAATATATGATGTATAATTTTGAAGGCAATGAATTAATCAAGCTTCCTCCATGTTGACTAACTTGTATAGTACAGGAAGCTTCTACAAAGGTGACTGGGAGAAAAGACACCAATGGTCCTTCCCTGTGCTTAATTCTGCATAATATAATACTAACGAACCTACTGGGGCAATAGTGGCACAACTATAATAGGGTAACTGTTTTTCTGATCTTGTTCCACAGGAGGGAATTTCTTCCCTAATTACACAATTTTGGTCAAAAGCTCCTGACTCAGAAACTCATAAGGACTAGTGTAGAATATGTTCTTGTTATTTTTCTTAGTGTTTGTGTTGACTGTCTTCTAAATAATTTATTTACACTCACAAACCTAGACTCTTCACAATCTTGGTCAGAGAAGCTTTATTTGCAATGGCATATAGACAATTATCAAAATTCTGAGAATAAGAAACTGGGTACTCAGTCCCTAAACATGACACCTATATTGTTCCACTGTCATTAAGGTTCTGTGAACATTTGAGAAGTGACGGTAGAAAGAGTCTAAGAGCCAAATGATGGGGAACAGTACTCTGAAATGAACTGAGGAACAATTACAGTAGATAGTTTCTGAGAGAAGGTAATTCATTATCTGTCTAGGATGTAGCCACTTAGAAGTTTCACATGGTTCCGTGGATGCCCCCACAGTCATTCACAGATGGGAAAGCACTAAATGGACATAGTGGGTTATCAATTACAAAAAAAAAAAAAAGATATGGAGTCCAAATATGTTGGTGTTGAGGAGGATAAAGGGGTAGCTGAAAGGAGATAGATATGGTCACGTATCACTGTGTGTGTGTGTGTGTGTGTGTGTGTGTGTGTGTATGTATGTGTGTGTGTATGTGGTGTGTATGTATGTATGTATGTATGTATGTATGTATGTATGTATGTAAAATGTCCCCAAATAAAGTTTTGAAACTTCCATAGAACTCTAATAGGCAAATTGAAATAAAAGAATGTGGAAAAGACAGTAATCAAGATAAAATAATATGATGGATAAAACTAAAATAAACTAGTGCTTTGGATTGGAAACCAACTCAAGAAGGAAAGTGAATCATTTATTCTGTTTAGCTTTAAATCATCTGACATAGCTGATACTGAAGAACAAATACTTAAGACTTTACCTGATATGGAAATACTTGTCCTTTGCTTTTGGCCTGTCAGAGGATTCTGAAGGCAGCAAATGACTCTCTGGGAGAAACTGTCATTAATGAGAAGAATCATCTTTACATTGAATAGTTTGCCTTCATCCTGAGAATGAGATTTTGATGCAGCTGGAATGACCTCTCCTCTGCTGTCCTTCCATTCCATGAGAGGCTGTGGAAACCAACCTCCAGAGTTGCACTCCACTATTAAACCTTTGGTATTAGGAGGATGCACATGAATCTGTACCTGCAAGCCCACAGCTGGATGGGAACACCGAAATAAAACAACATTTTAGTGAATAAAATGGGAAATAGAACAGAAAAATAAAATTACTAAAGCCTGAAGAGTTAAGGAATCTGATTGCATGAGTTTCAAAAATAGGAAAGGACCTGATATACAATCACAGTACACCACTAGCAACATGTTCTGTATGAAAAGGTACATGTTATATAAATACAGGTGATTGTTTAATTTATCTACTGATTCACAAAAAAAAATATTACTTCTTACTAACTTCAGACTGGTTTGGGACATTGAAATACAGTAATAAGCAAAAATCAATATTTATTTCCTCATAGAAACTGTGGCTTAAAATAGTTTTCAGTGGTCAACACTTAGCCATTGTTGAGCCCAATTACAAATGATGAAGTCAACAATATTATAAATACAATTCTGAATTTTAAATTGCAGCTTCGATTTCATGTTCTATGAATTCAGTTGATATTTAAATACAAACTATTTCATACCGCATAAATAATACTTCAGTTTTTTCAAAATACTCTTCATACTAATTTAAATCAAGTTAATGTCTTTGAAAGTATTAGTACACTAAGGACGCATTGGTGGTTCAATGGTAGAAAGTATTAGTACATTATCTGGGACATAAGACTTGCCTAAAGTGTGAAGAAGGAAGAATTGTGATTTAACCTACCTGCACCCCCCCCCACAAACAACTCTGTCTACAAAACCTTTCTAATACAACAGAATTATTTTATATACTTTCTGTCTGACCCAGTCCTACTTTCTGCATGTGATGACTAAACCCCTAAACTGTGTCATGTGCTATATCAGAAAAGAATGATTGATTTTAGGTTCTTAACTTAAATATATATATATATATATATATATATATATATATATATATATATATGCAATCTTTCTTTTTCTTTAGTTATTCCTTCCTCCCTTTCTTTCTCAAACAGGGTCTCACTGTGGAATCCTGAAATGGTTGCAATTCTTTATAGAGACATGGCTAGTCTAGAACTCTGTGAAAACCAGGCTGGCCTTGAACTCATGGAGATCTGCCTGTCTCTGCCTCCCAAATACAGGCACTAAAGACCTGTGTCAGCACACCTGACTTTAAAATATAAATTAGTTACATTACATTCCTCAGGTCAGCTCTTAACTATTGGGTTTAGAGAAAATATGAGGCTCACAAATATTAGCTACCTATTATCTTAGAGTCCAAAAACATATGCTCAGAATACAGATCACTTCATTTTTCCTCATTCCTCACTTTCCTGCCATTATTTTTTCATTCTTAATAGTTTACAGGATAAGAAGACAACCTTAAATATATTATACTTGCAGACACTGACGAGTCAGGAATGTTAGCCTTACACTAAGTAGTCAATGGAGAATTGGGAATTAAAATTGCCACAAAGATGTACGAGCATGTTTATCCCTCCAGGCTTGTCCCACTGCTGTGCCGTGTCAGCCCCAAATAATAGAGACGCTGTATTAGATATAAAGATGTTAGCCTGTTACTAGCATTTCTTATTGGCTAGCTCTGTCTTAAATATTAACCAGTTTCTATATTAATCTAAATATTTCCACATGGTCTTATTTTACTGGAGAGAGGTCCCCGTAGTCTTCTCTCTAGTCCTACATCTTGAATCTCCTCCCTACTTCTTCCTCTCTCCTCTTAGTCTCCTAACCCCGCCTATTTTGCTTTCCTATTGGCCAACAGTGCTTCATTAACCAATAAGAGAAATATATTTACAGAATGACATCTTTCATCACAAAGAAAATTATTTTAAAGTTTAAATCACTGGTGAAAATCACATTTTATTAAAATGCTGTTAGAAATTATTGAAAGAATAAGACAAACTTAAAACTGCTTGGTAAAAATGTTAGAAATCTGGCAATTTGTGTAAACCTAAAACAGAATTTAGTGTTAAGACTTGATGTGTATACTGCCATAATATTATGTTTGATTTGAGTTAAAAAAAAATTATAAAACTGATCTTGGTAATCAAACAATGTAATATAGACCAAGAAACACTGAACATTTCCTTAAGCTTCAAACGCTGATGTATTGAGAATGTGAATTCATAGAAACCTCAGAAAGACCCACGCCTACCTGTGACCCTGACCTCTGTGACATGCTCTTCATAAAAATTGCGGTGTTTGAAGACACAGTGAAATGGCCCATCATCATCAATGGTCACATTGAAGATCCTGAGGGTCACTCTTCCTTCTCCAATGTCATCTTTCAGGAGTTCTGTCCGCTCCACGTACTGGGAGATAGTTTCTCCATACATGTCTTTGCCATCCCTGTACAGGTACACTGGCTGTGTATAATGGTACCGGAACCAGCGAATCTCCATGTGCTGTGCATGTTGTGATGGGGACACCTGACAACTGAGTTCAAGGTTTTCACCCAATGGAGCCAAGACTGGCCCCTCCAAGCCAGTCACTGTGAATTTCTCTGGGAAGGTAAAGAAGAACCTAAAATAGTTGTGACAGGACATAATTTTATTTAAAAATGCCCCTCCCCTTTTCCCTTTATGTCTCCCCCCCCCAACACCTCTGCCTATCTCTGCCTATTTCTCTTCAACACACAATGGGAAAAAATAATCCCTTTATTACTAGTTACTTCACCCCAAAGATACTTTAATTTAAAATTTAACAAATTGATTTAATATTTTATGTTCTTCATAATAAACTGTTGTATAAATTTATGCTTCTTTTCTAGTAAAGTTACACAGAGCTTCTTGAATTGCATTATTTTTATCATTTTTCATTTCTCTGTAATTATTACTCATTGAATATTTATTCATCTCCCTCCTTCATTCATTATAATCTCTTAGTATATAACCCTTTTGTTTGTCTTCAGAATCATCAGCAAGATATGTTAAAGTGCCATAGTCTACCTCTGTAAGAATTCCCCAGTTAAAACATATCTTTATTGGTTTTTTGTTTTCCTTTTGATACAAAGTGGTTACATTAGATTCTCTTTCAGTTTAAAGATTCATAAATTGTCAACTTTGACATTGAGTCCCTAACTGGAATAAACTGTGGGAATAGGAGACATTTTGTAGAGTTCATTTCAGTTCTGTTATAATTACTAATGTAAGAAGAAAAACAAAGTTGATTATCTTTTTTTAATTTTTGGTTCTTTCATGGCAAAGTTTAATTAAGCTCTTACAGAGGGGACCAACAGAAAGACAAAACTGTTTTTCACAGGGTGTCTGAATTATAGTCACAAAGGAGTAGTTTACTTCAAGTGTTAAACTGTACAGACAGTGGGTTATAATCATGTAATCTTCTTACATTTTATCCCCACAAAGTTGATTATCTTAGTATTATGATTTTTCAATACTAAAATTGCTTAAATTTCAATCATTTCTATTTCTTTTCTGAGTATCTCAAGATTATGAAATCAATTTAAGTGTTTATGTTTTGAAGCTAAACAATCTCAATTGCTAATATATAATTGACAAGTTGGTATTAAAATAATTAAATATTTTTTCATAAAGAATAAATGAGGATCTTAAATGTTTATTTTATTAAAAAATTGGCAGTATTCTCTGTTTCAATTTTATGGAATAATTTGAGGAGTATTTGTATTCACTCTTTTGAAAGTCTGGTAAAATTCTATGCTCAAACCATCTGACCCTGGGCTTTTTTTAGTTGGGGTATTTTAATGGCTACTTGTATTCCTTAGGTGTTATAGGTATGATTAAATTATTTATATCTGATTTTAATTTAATCTTAGTAAGTGGTATCTATCAAGAAATTTGTGCTTCAGTTTTTAGATTTTTCCAATTTTGAAAAGTACAGGTGATGAGAGATGTCATTCTGTAAATATGTTTCTCTTATTGGTTAATGAATAAAGCACTGTTGGCCAATAGGAAAGCAAGATAGGCAGGACTAGGAGTCAAGGAGGAGAGGGGAAGTAGTAGGGAGGAGTTTCAAAATGTAGGACCAACAGGGCACTTGTAGCATTCCTGGGTCAAGGAAGAAATAAAGAAATTAAAAACTTCCTAGATTTCAGTGAGAATGAAGACAGAACATACCCAAACTTATGAGACAATTTGAAAGCAGTGCTAAGAGGAAAGTTCACAGCACTAAGTTCCCACATTGAAGAAACTGGAGATTAGTTATATAAAAGAATTAACATCACACTTCAAAGCTCTAGAACAAAATGAAGCAAACTCACCCTGGATGAGCAAATGCCATGGAAATCAAATTGAGGGCTGAAATCAATAAAGTAGAAACCAGGAAAATAATACAAAGAATAAATATAACAAACAGTTGGTTCTTCCAGATAATCAACAAGATAGAAAAATCTTTATCCAAACTAACCAAAAGGCAGAGAATAAACATGCAAATTAACAAAATCAGAAATGAAAAGAGGAACAAAACAATGGACACTGAGGAAATCCAGAGAAACTTCAGGTCATACTTTGAAAATGTGAACTCCAAAAAAATTGAAAATCTAAAAGAAATGAACAGTTTTCTGAATAGATATCACATACCAAAAACATACCAAAAATTAAATTAAGAACAGATAAGAATTTTGAATAAACCTATAACCCTGAATGAAATAGAAGCTGTAATTGAAGCTGTCATCAAAATTCTCCCAACCAAAAAAAAAAAAAAAAAGCACAGGGCCAGATGGTTTAAGTGCAGAATTCTACCAAAAATTCAAAGAACAGAAAATATCAATATTCCTCAAAGTTTCCACAAAAGTAGAGGGGTCATTGCCAAACTTTTTTTTTTAAACTAGGCTACAATTACCCAATTACCATAGTGCCCAAGCAACACAAAGACACAACTAAGAAAGAGCACTACAGGCAAATATCCCTCATGAACAGAATTGATGCAAAAATACTCAATAACATACTGGCAAATTGAATCCAAGAACGCATCAGAGAAATCATCCACCATGACCAAGTAGGCTTCATCCTGGAGATTCAGGGATGGTTCAACATATAAAAATCCGTCAATGTACTCCACAATATAAACAAACTGGAAAAGAAAAACTACATGATAATTTCACCAGATGCTGAAAAAGCCTTTGACAAAATCCAATACCACTTCATGATAAACGTCTTGGAGAGATGAGGGATATTATGAACATACCTAAGCATAATAAAGGCTATATAGAGCAAACCAAGAGCCAAAATCAAACTAAATGGAGAGAAACTCAATGAGATTCCTCTAAAATCAAGAAAAAGACAAGGCTGTCCACTCTTGCCTTATTTCCTTAATATTGAACTTGAAGTTCTAGCTAGAGCAATAAGAAAACAAACGGAAATCAAGGAGAAACAAATTGGAAAGAAAGCACATGGAACTAGGAAGATTGAGTCCGGGGAGGAATAGAGGAGAGGGAAAGAGAGACAGAGACAGAGAGAGAAGAGAACATAAAAGAGGGAGCCATTATAGGTTTGAAGAGAAAACTGAATCTAAAGAAATGTCCAGATACCTACAAGACTGACCCCAACTAACAATGAGATTGCCGGCTCACTTATACACCATCATGGAGCCCCCAACTAGGAGCTTATGGAAACAAAAGCAGACACCCACAACTAAACACTGAGCTGAACTAGAATCCAGACGCAGAGAAGGGGGACAAGACCAGGCTATAGAAACACATAGAGACAGCTGACCTAAACAAGGAGGAGCTAATGGGTCCCCACACTGATAGCTGGGAATGCAGCATGGGATTGACTCAGACCCCCTGAATATGGGTCTCAGCTAGAAGGCCTGAGCAGTCTAAGGGACCTCAGTGGAACCAGGATGTATCCCTGATGTACAAAAAAACTTTAGGGGCACATTCCCCATGGAGGGATATTCCCTTAACCTAGATGCAGGAGAGAAGGCCTAGTCCCTACTTCAAATGACTTGACAGATTCAGATGACCCCTCCTGGAAGGCATCACCCTACATGTGGAGTGGGGGATGGAAGGGTGGTGGGGGCATGGGAGGGTGGAAGAGAGGGAAAGAAGGAGGGAGGGAGGAGGGAGGGAGAGGGACCTGGGATTGATATGTAAAATAAAAATAAAATATAAAATTAAAAAACAATAAAAACTTGGCCGACAGAAAAAAAAAAGGAAGGAAGCACAGAGAGACTTCGGATACTGTATGCTATTCTGTTGTGTTTATATTGTTTTACTGCTGAGGAAATAGCAATAACTTTTAAAAAGAAATGCTGCTAGATTAATCCAATTTATATATTTTAAAAATGCTTTGACTTCAAAATTTAAGTCCAAAGACAGATTACTGGGGGGAAAGGATTTCTATTTTTGTTTTCACAGAAAATAAAAAACTCTGTTTTCCTTCCAGACTAACATGGTTTGATCAAGAAAGACCCCCAGAAATAGTGTTCCAGATGATCCAACATTCAAAACAGCTGGGACAAGGCAGCCCCATGATAGTGGCCCCTACCAGCAGGAAGCAGTTTAGACAGAAGACACCCGAATTCCCAAATATTGTTTATAAATATTTGTTTTTCATCTAAAAGGGGTTGGTTATAAATGGTTAGTGATCACAAGCAATCTCTTTTTAAAGGCAAAAAAAGGGGGGGAATATAGTATAAAAATGTATACTTTGTTTTTAAATAGATTTTCATTTATTGATACAAATTTAAGGTAGATTTTGTGATATGTATATTTCTCCTCTTGTTTAGGTATTGTGTTTATATAGCTCATTTAGTACAGATTTTAGATAGTTATCTATAACAGTCAAAACGTATAGTTAAGTTAATTAGGATTTCTAGATATACAGAGATGTATTTGAGATGAATAGGTATTCTTCAAATGTTTCAAAGACCTACAGAATAAGGCATTTAAAATGGTTTAGGGTTTTTCTTGACAGTGAGACCTACCTGCTCCTGGCAACACCACCTGTGTCAGAAAGGAAGTTGAACATTAAAGAAACTTGTGAAGTTTACTCCCAGTATGGCAAAACAAGAAACTGCTCTTGACTATACTGTTTGACTTTATGCTACATAAATTGGACATTCAGGACCCACAGAAAAATGACTGCTGAAACAAGATAGACATTGCTACAGGGTCCCTGTTTCATGGAAGAAGAGTCTGCCAGACATTCTGTAGGACACAGAGAAAAGTGACTGACAAACTGCCAATACAGATGGACAGTTTAAAGTTTCCTGCTTTGTTGAGGAGTCTGCCAGACACACTATGGCCTATAGGTTGAAGATGGAACATTACAGAAGAACTTCGTGTGACTGACCAGAGAGTGAGATGCCTCTGTCATTTCTAGAGTTATATATTATCCTTCTGTGGTCTTTGATGGAGTTGAAGACAGTTAGTTATGGTTATAGTTTTCCTTAAGTAGGATTAAAGATAAGTTACATATAGGACATTAGACTCACAAAGATAGGATAGATGATAAAATATTTTCTTTAAATCTTGCTAAATGCTAATGGACTAAATATTGTTAACTATGGTTCTTATTGGAT